CGCCCTGTTACGTATTCTGATCGTAAGTGACACAACCTTCCCGTACAAAAGCCGAAGCGAGACTTATCGGGTGGCAGGAAACAAGCTTCAAGATGCCGATCGTTTAGGTAATTTCTTTTTACAGTGAAAATAATGGTAATTTAAAAAAAATAAAAAAAAAACATAAGCCCTGCTTTATAGTTGCTCAGTTAGTATGCAAAGTTTCATGATCTAATTTAAAGTATTTTATGAATACCAGCGGTTTATTATTTAATTTGGAGGTAAATTTTGATTTTTTTTCTATCGAGACAATTTTACGGAATCGTGTTTTCGCCTAACATAGTACTTAACATTAATCCTCAACTTTACCATATATTTATTTCAAAATTAATGCTGCAATATTTTCTGAATAACGGAGGATCTTGTTAAGCCATTTGTGGTAGTGTTTTTAATATTTCCCCTTAAAATATGAGATATCGGGTCAAAGTTTACGATATTTTGGGCCAATTTTGTATAAGTCTCAGTATGCTTAATATCCTATAAAAATGAATATGAATTGATTATAATTCCTAGTACTCCCATAAGGCAGACCAGCGACGGGCAGCGACGTCAACAGTGCTCGCATCTAGTACTGCGATCTTCAATCCACCTGCCAAACGTGATGATTAAGGCAAACCCTCATTATATACAAGGTAGAGCCAAGCTGCAGCTATATTATGGTTGTAGCACGAACAGGTCGGCTTGACCGGGGTAGGACCACAGAATACCAGCGTAAAATAGCAGCTTAATGTTGCCGTGTCTCGTATAGTGAGTGTAGAGAACCAAAGAATCTTTTTTATTGGCAACGAGGCATTACATCTTACTCATCAGGAGTGACAACGTATCCGAATTTTGATTCTTAATTGAGAAAAAATGTAGACATCTATCGGCCACATCATCCACTTAGCATCGGATGGATTGTGAGCTCGCTTGTTGTCCTAATTCTATAAAAATACTTCTTTGTTATCTGAATACAAGAACAACTGTATAAATATTGGTTACTAATGTAACATTTAAGATATAATCAGAATGTATGAACCAAACTTATTTTAATCAGTGCCCTCACGGTCCCAACAAATCAAGTTATGTTCGTACTCGTATTTGCATACTAAGTGTATTTAACTCACGGGAGATTCAGCTTAATCTTGTCTTGTTTATTCGCTTAAAAGTGATAGTGTACGCATATATTTGAGTAACGTTACTCTAGATATAACATAATATTCGATGTTAAAATAGTTTACAAGTGAGAAATGAACGCTGCCATAGGGGATAGAACCGTCTACTAAATCGTATGATACGTATCTTGTTGTGTTTTAATATAAATAAGGAAAAGGCCCTTTGATGATGGAGCAAGAAAATCAGGCTCAGGCTCAGGCTGCTCAGGCTGGATGTCGATGGTGCAGTCCAGTTTCCGGTACTTCCTTAATGCCGATATTTTATGCATGCTGACTTTATAAGGGCAAGTGGCGCTAGTGCAAACGCTATACCGGTATGACCTCTAATGCCAGTGCGTTCGTAAAGCGTACACACTACGCAGATAAGATAAGATATCTGTATCTGAGCGCATATCTTTCAATATCGTTCTCTATAAAACTCATTGAACTAACACACACAGCGTAGACAATTTATATTTTATCATCTAGTATCTGTAAGCACCGACATATATCGAAAGATAGCGACAACATTATCTGCTCATACAAATATAATTACAGATAATATCTGCAGATACAAATATGGCTTAAAATTTTACCTGCAGTTAAATACAGGTGGTCGCGGAAAAACGCGATTAAATTTGCCTCGGTTCTTTTTAAGCTTTATGTGACGATCTGTTCAAATTATTCGCCTATTAGTGATTAATGCTAATGCAACACGTACAACAAAATTTAAATCTAAATCTTATTCTGACGCGCTGTCTAGCAAATCTAGAAGCAATTTCGTTTTGTTTTTCAAAAAATCTATTACTCGCTTTTGGCGCGATTATTGTACAGCTGCAGACTGAACTATCCAAATTAACTTGACCGGGAAGGACCACGCTCCCACAGAACACCAGTGTAAAATAACAACTCAGTTTTGACATCACTGGGAACATTCACTGACTGTACACTAGACGGATTGACAACCTGTAAAAACAGGCAGCAATTCGATGGATGCAGGTGTCTTAGGACCGTGTTTTGTGGCGCCTAGTTCATCAGCGACCTCTGAAGGGCTGTAATTATTATGAGTGTTATTAAGTTATATCTAATAAAAATTACATAACATTAAAATCTACTATGTTTTAACCATAATTAAAAGAAAACTAAAGCTAGAAACTTAAATTATCATACATTCCTACTCCTCGCGGTATAGTGCCAAGAACGCTGGCTTGGTTTCTATGCTAAATAGCGACACTTATCTGTAATATTAATTCAAATTAGATAATAAACTTTTAGTTTAAATTAAATTAGGTAATAAACTTTTATTTTAAATTAAATCTAATGAAAAAATATGTGACCGAGTAATATTTATTAAATAACAAATAAATTTCACAAGTTGCGACAGTCTGCTGCGACAGATACATGACAACGGAAGCGGTGTAAAGACAGCGACGAATTTCCCAGGCGGAGTGTAAATTACACGATGCCTGCGTGTTTCATCGTAAGTAGTAAATTCATGTGTAAACAATAAGTGTATAATTTCCAAGTTATTGTTTTATATTTGAAGGATGTTCTATTTTATTTCATACGCTTGTTGAATTCGCACTGTATTGATAGTTATTACAAAGACTTTTTGTATTACCCGCATTATACTGTGACACTTTATTCTACAAATAATGAAGGTAAAACAAGGTATAAATAATCAAGGGAAAAAATCATTAATACACAAATATCTCCAATATTAGTAATTTATCATAAGCTAAAGTTACTGCCTATATACTTCACACTGCTGCGCACAGATCCCACACATTTTAATTTTCACACATCTTTAAAAGGTTATGAAGCTATTAGTACGTCATGCCGCTTCGGTGTGTGTCTGTGACTTAAAAATACTTCTTTCTTGTGATGGTTTTCTTCACTACATGAGTGCGTGGTAAATCAGCATTTAAAACTCACAATTTCATTGATAGATAGAAAATAGGTTGCTTGCGTAAGGGAGTATGAATGAATTTCCTGCGTCTTATCCTGGCGGGGAGTCTTAGTAACCGTGGCTCGGTCACTCATGGAAACCCATATGGCTGGCTCGATCTCGTTCTAGAAAAATTAACATCCGCAAAGAGCTCTAGATCATTTAAAAGAACAGAAGAAAGCTAGAGATAATTAGTTCTGAGTTTGCGAACAAACTCGCAGTTTAAATTATGTCTCGAGTAGCTGAAAGCTACTGATAATGTTAGAAAATGTTTTTGAATGTGTATCAAATTGTCTTTTGAAAATGATCATTAAAAAGTTTGTTTTTAACCAAATCTTCTTTTATACATTCATTCATTAATTACAGCCTACCAAATGTCCACACCGAGACACGCCTTCCTCACACATGCACTCATAAAAGTGATATATTGTCATAGTTGCCATGCTTGGCAGACGGATTGTCAATCGCAGTCTCTTTATTATTTAGTTAGTACTAGTAGAATTTTATTACGAGTATACTTCTGCCCGTCATTCATCAGTCAGTTTTATTTCCTGCTGTAGCCTGAAGCCTCTTACAAACCCCACGGGATGATATCTGGTATTGCATTTTCTTGTGCTACGATTGTTATACGGCAAGGAATACTTGTGATATGGCGAAATCTTGTTCAATAGTATTAATTACGTTTATAATAAGTTCTTTATGAGTCCTCTCAACTTCAATTAATTTCCATATCTGATTTATCTAACTGGCGATTAATCAGCCCAGTTACTATTTTATTATAAATTGCTGATACGTAGAATATCATAATATAACAATATTTTTATAGAAGACCAGATTTTTCAAAAAAACTTATATTTTTTGTTTTGAATTTTTTTTTGTTATAGATGTCTATAAGCCAAAGCATCCACTTACCATCAAGTGGAGTGTGTGCTCGTTTCTCACCCTTATTCTATTTAGTAAAAATAGGTTTTGACTTTATTCTAAAAGTTTTGTCTATAAAGATTGTTTTGAATTATAGTTTTTAATTTACTTTGGAGCCACGACGATTTAATTTCTTTGCAGACTATTTTCAGACATTTCCTGTTCTCTAATGAAACAATCAGTAGCTACTTATACCTACTAATAAACTTCTGCCGGCACTGATAAAATAGATTCAGAAAATACTTAACAAGTTAAAAGTTTGCAGCTCGAAAGTTTTTATTTTCGACTGCCAGTTTCGGATTATGGAAAGATATATTTATTATTTCGATTACATTTAATTATTATACTGTTTTAAAAAAGGCTATTATTTTGTAACTTTTTCTTCTTTCAATATCTAAAATATGTATTATATATATTATACGATTATTTGACGACATCCTGTAATCAGACCCAATCCGCCCCACATTGCGTTCTACTGTCTAAAACTAACTTTTCTTGTTGTAAGACCTATCTTGTACTTCAAACGTAAAGGATCTGATGGTTAATAAATAATTTGACGTTTGTCTGATGCTAGAATATAGTTCGCCTTTACGACAGCGACACGTACATTGTTAAAGCTATAAGTGACTGAGCAATTCCATTAGATGCGAGCGACGACCGGAGGCGAACAACTTGAGCTCAATCAAAACTTAAACTAGTTAAAATTCCTTTCATGCAACTATCAACAGATATATTCAGAGAGCATTCCGAGAAAGTTCAAAATAATAATAATAATAATAGTAATAATAACCCCACCAGCTGGCTTGGTGTCGGCAGGGTCTTCGCGGGCCCAGCAATCGGCACCCGCCTCTGGTGGAGTACGCCACATGCGTTGGACAACCCAGATGAACAGCAACGCATTGCGGGCGTATTTTAGGGCGAAAGGGGTAGAAACTGGAGGTTTTGCGTATCGGGCAAGGATGCATCGACTTTTTGCTGAGCTGGAGCCATCTGTAACCGTCACCGAGCAAAACCTGGCAGACCGAGTTCGGTATATCTTGCGCTCAAATACATTTGATGTTACCGAACTCGAACGGCTACGACGTGAGGCTGTTCCTTCATCGGGTGAAAATGCTGCGGCTGAGGATGCGGCGCTACAACTTGCTGAGCAAACGGCAAATGTAGATGCCGCCGTGAACACGCCAGTTGTGGTTGATTTAGACGATGATGGAACAGTCGCCCAGGAACTGGAACTAGAGCAAATGAGGAGTACATTGGAAGAGGCGATTGTGGAAACGCGCAGTACGGCTCTCAAAAATCGACCGCGATTTCCCCGCTTAGCCCTAAGGAAGCGGAATCGGGCTGTCGTGAGGGCTCTGAACCCAATGCTGGTTACCTATTTGGAAGCCAGCCAGGACCTTTGCGAGACGGACTCAATTCTTTTTGGCGTCGCACTGGCAGTCTGCCGTATAATAGGCGCCAAACTTTCCACGGCTGGACGCGCTACTGGACAAAGTAGTGCTATCCCAGCCTGGAGAATAAGAATTGAAGAACGTATCGCAAAGGCTAGGGCCCTCATCGGCAGACTGATATGCTTCAGGTCAGGCAATACCAGGCCAAGGATTGTGCGCACCGTCAGGATGGCGTTTGCTGGGACAAATGTTAGTTTGTCCCAGCCGGATATAACGCAAAAACTGACGGAGCGCATAGACGACCTGAAGCAAAGAATCGCTGCTTGGGGAAAGCGGATTCGGCGATATACCGAGAGGTCGACACGGTTCAACCAGAATCGTCTCTTCCAGAATGATCAGAAGAGGCTCTGTAAATCATTGGAGCGACCAATGATTTACAGATTTACAGCGCGTAAAAATGTCGGGGCGGCGGTCGTGGAACCAAGGAACCACTCCTCATTGACGCGGTCATTGGCAAAGTGGTGAAACGCAACCGTCGGAACTTCTCCGCCGCCTGGATAGATTACAGAATGGCATTTGACTCGGTGCCCCATACATGGCTAATGAGGGTCCTCTAGCTGTACAAGATTGACTGTACAGTTCGAGACTTCCTCGAGCAGTATATATGGCAGTGGAGTACGATCCTCTGTCATCTAGGCGAGCGGATGACGGCTGCGGAAAGCCGCATAAGGATAAGAAGGGGTATATTCCAGGGCGACTGTCTGAGTCCAATCTGGTTCTGCCTCTCTTTTGAACCCTCTCAGTACTTTACTGGAGGGCTCCGGGAGGGGATTTCAGCTTCGGAAAAGAGGTGCAAAAGTAACCCACCTTTTCTATATGGATGACCTCAAGTTATTCGCCTCCAGTCGCTCCCACCTTATGGAATTGCTAAACATCACTTGTGAATTTAGCAATTCTATTAGAATGGAGCTGGGGGCGGATAAGTGTGCGGTCCTCCATGTTGAAGGGGGAAGGGTTGCTAACTCTGAGGGCATAGACTTATCTATGCCCGTCAACTTAAGGGCCCTTTCCGAGGCTGAAACATACCGATACCTGGGTATGTCACAGAACATCGGTATCGATGAGGCTGGTATGAAACAGTCAGTTTGCGACGTGTTTTATGCACGCTTGACCAAAGTGCTTAACAGCCTTTTTGTCCGGTGTGAATAAGACACATGCATATAACGGTTGGGTTATGCCTGTCCTCATGTATACCTTTGGCATACTCAGGTGGAGTCAGATTGAACTTAACGCCCTGGATAGAAAAGTCCGCACTACAATGACGTCCCATAGGATGCATCATCCGAGATCGTCGGTAATGAGGCTGTACTTGCCGCGAAAGCATGGTGGGCGTGGCTTTCTGAGCGCGCTCACCATGCATAATCGCGAAGTGTGCAGCCTCCGTCATTACTTCCTGGCGAGATCGGATGATCCATTCTATAATGACGTCATTTCTAGTGATAAAGGACTTACCCCTCTATCCTTAGCCAACGAGCAATGGCAAGACCCGGCAGTACAGAGCATTTCCGACCGGGAGACCGTATGGAAGGAGAAGAAGCTCCACGGGAGGTACTACAGGGCTCTACATGAGCCTCACGTAGATACAGCCGCCTCTCTCAACTGGCTACGTTTCGGTGACCTCTTCGGGGGAAACCGAGGGTTTTGTCTGTGCAATACAGGATCAGGTTATTAAGACCAACAACTATCGGAGATACATCCTAAAGGATGGCACTGTCGACGTCTGTCGAACTTGTCGCCATCCCGGGGAGTCACTTAGGCATATCATCTCCGGTTGTTCGGCGCTTTCTAACTCTGAGTACTTGCACAGGCACAACCTAGTAGCCAGAATTCTACACCAGGAGCTCGCTCTGAAATACGGTCTCGTGGACCGAAAATTGCCGTATTACAAGTACTTGCCGGAAGCCCTGCTCGAAAATGACCGCGCCAAGCTCTACTGGGACCGGGCCATCATCACAGACAGGACTATTCTTGCGAATAAGCCTGATATTGTGCTGATGGACCGGGCACAGTCAAGGATATTTTTGATCTACATTACCATTCCGTATGACGAGAACCTCGTGAAAGCCGAAACAGAGAAACGAACAAAATATCTGGACCTGGCTCACGAGATGACCGACATGTGGGGTGGTCCACCGACCGAAATTATCCCTGTAGTCGTCTCTGCGAATGGGCTAATCCCGGTCAGCCTCTCGGGTCGTCTGAGGCGACTGGAACTCCGTGACTGACCGCTCCGGACTCAAATGCAGAAGGCGGTGCTCCTCGATACCGCCCGCATCGTCCGCCGGTTTCTTTCCCTTTCCCCCTAACCCTCAGCCGTTTTGTCTCCCCTGCCGAGGGCTCACATCTGGTTGGATCTTATTCATTTATGTAGTTTTTGTGTTTATTTTATTTTATTGATATTTATGTATCCAAATCTATACTCAGTCCTCTCTTGAAGATCTATCTAAAGCAGTTGACACTATTAACGCTGATCTGACTTGTATTTCGAATTGGAGTAAATGTTATGGTTTAACGATTAATCCCAAGAAAACTCAGGTCATTGTCATCGGTAGTTCTAGATTAATTGGTAAAATTGACTGGTCTCCCCTACCCCCTATTATACTAGACTGCACTCTAATCCCTTACAGTAACAAGGTTAAAAACCTGGGGTTGTATCTTGACTCCTGTATGTCTTGGACCTCACAGGTTAATGAGGTCAGTAGAAAAATGTTTGCTGCGTTAAGCTCTTTACGTAGATTACGTAATTTCCTTCCCACAGCAACTAAAGTTACGCTCGCCCAGTCTCTTCTTCTGCCTATCCTTGACTATGCTGATATTTGCTATCTTGACATTACCGAGGAGCAGCTTAATAAGCTTGAGCGCATTCAAAATTTATGCATTAGATTTATATTTGGGCTTCGCAAATATGATCATATCTCCGAATTTCGCAAACAGCTCAAATGGCTCCCGATCCGCCTTCGCAGGAATACTCACATTCTCTCCGTGTTGTATAGTGTGCTGTTCAATCCTTCTACTCCTCTTTATTTAAAAAACCGTTTCCAGTATCTTTCTCTTACCCATAATCGGTTCCTTCGATCCTCCATCAATCTTTCTCTCTCTACACCTTTGCACTCTTCTTCCTTTTTCAAGAAATCCTTCACCGTAACCGCTGTGCGATTGTGGAACTCCTTACCTCTCCATATTCGTCGTGCTAAATCTCTTCACTCTTTCAAAATTCTTGTTAAATCGTATTATTTAGAACGCTATTAGATAAATTACTTTACCTTTCTCTTACTCTTTTCATTTAATCTATTATATTATATTTTATATATAACTTTCACTTACTTTTATTTGTATGTATTATTGTGTTTTTTTTATTATTATTTTGTATGCCCCCCTATTTTTGTAACTTTTGTTTGCATCATTCCTCTACGCAAAGGTTGTCTGGAAGAAATCACTTTCAGTGATAAGACCGCCTATTGTACATACTTTAATTAGTTTTAACTGTATTGATGTTTCTGTATTGTGGTGTACAAAAAAGAATAAATAAATAAATAAAATGTATATTTATCTTTTCATTTTAATTTATATTTATATATTTATAGAACCCAACCAGGTGAGAAAATTATATAGATACCCCAATAATAATAATAATAAAAAGGCGTAGGGAATTGGCGACCCCATCGCCCGCTGACGTAACAGTTATGTGACAGAACTGCGACGTCGGCGCAGTCAGTCAGCATCCTGCCAAGAGGTGTGAGCGCCGTGCCTAGGCAAAATTGTAGATACAAAGGTCCGTTTGTGCATATGACCCAACCACGAAACGGTGCCGGGCTTGGGCGTCTCCCGTTATTTGGCGCCCATAAAATGGATGATGGAAGAAACACAGAAAGGAACGCGCATAGGACCGCTGCCTGGGGGTCGCCGGGGCGCGTCTGGAGCTGGCGCTGGACGTGACAGCATGCGGGCCGCCAGCCGAGCGCGAGGAGCTGCACGATCACCTAGCAGCCCCTCGCATCCATCATCCCCACCAGAAGGCTTGGTGTCGGCTGGGTCTTCTCGGATCCAGCAAGCGGCACCCGCCGCTGGTGGAGCACGTCGCATGCGTTGGACAAAATGCATGAACGAAAACGCATTGCGGGCGTACTATAGGGCGAAAGGGGAAGAAACTGCGGGAATAGCGTATAGGTCTCGGATGAATTGCTTTTTTGCTGAGCTGGAGCCGTCTCTCCCCGTCACGGAACAAAACCTGGCAGACCGAGTTCGGTACATCATGCGCTCGAAAATATTTGATGATGCCGAACTCGAACGACTACGACGTGAGGCTATTCCATCGTCGAATGAATCGGCTATGGCTGGAGATGCAGCTCCACATTCGACAGACCAGCATCCACACGTGGAAGCCGCCATGGATCTTCCAGTTGTGGTTGATTCGAATGACGATGAAATAGTCTCCCATGAACTAGAGCAAATGAGGAGTATATTGGAAGAGGCGATTTTGGAAACGCGCAGCACCCCTCTCGAAAATCGATCGCGACTTCCCCGCATACCCCTAAGCAAGCGAAATCGGGCTGTCGTGAGGGCTCTTAACCCAATGCTGGTGACCTATTTGGAAGCCAGCCGGGACCTTTGCGAGACGGACTCGATTCTCTTTGGCGCCGCAGTGGCATTTTGCCGTATTATTGGCGCCAAACTTCCCATGGCTGGACGCGCTACTACACAAAGTAGCGCCATCCCAGCCCGGAGAAAAAGAATCGAGGACCGTATCGCAAAGGCAAGGGCCCTTATCGGCAGACTGACAAGCTTCAGGTCGGGTAATAATAGACCGAGGATTATGCGCACCGTTAGGATGGCGTTTGCTGGGACAAATATCAGTTTGTCCCAGCCGGATATCACGCAGAAACTAACGGAGCGCATAGACGACTTGAAGCAAAAGATCGCTGCTTGGAGGTAGCGGATTCGACGATTTTCCGAGAGATCAAGGCGGTTCAACCAGAATCGTCTCTTCCAGAGTGATCAGAAGAGGCTCTATAAATCATTGGAACGACCAAAGGTATGTGGGGCGAGCCAAGGACCGGATCAGGCTGACATTATCGCATTCTGGCTTGGCCTGTGGTCAGAGCCCGTAAACCACAGCGAGGGCCCTTGGATGGAAGTTGTGGCGAGCTAGGGTGCGAGTGTTACGCCTATGGACCCCATCACCATAACGCCAGAAGACGTGGCTGAGGCGGTCCGTAGGGCCCCGAACTGGAAAAGTTCGGGGCTCGACGGGCTGCATCATTACTGGCTGAAGGGGTTCATAGTGTGTCGCGCTGTGCTCGCCCGACAGTTTCAAGAGGCTCTCGACCAGAAGTCACTCCCGAGCCTCTTCACTACTGGGATCACTCACTTGGTTCCTAAAGATCAGGATACCACAGACCCGAGCAAATATCGCCCCATCACGTGTCTACCTACCATATATAAGACACTGACATTCATTTTGAGCGCGAGAATCACTCGTCACCTGGAGCTAAACCAGGTGATGTCACGCGCTCAAAATGGATATCGGGGGCGGTGGTCGTGGAACTAAGGAACCACTCTTCATTGACGCGGTCATAGGCAAAGTGGTGAAACGCAACCGTCGGAACTTCTCTGCCGCCTGGATAGACTACAGAAAGGCGTTCGAATCGGTGCCCCATACATGGCTAAAGAGGGTCCTCGAGCTGTACAAGATTGACTGTACAGTTAGAGACTTGCTCGAGCAGTGTATGGGGCAGTGGAGTACGATCCTTTTTCATCTGGGCAAGCGGATGATGGCTGCGGAGGACCACATAAGGATAAGAAGGGGTATCTTCCAGGGCGATTGTCTGAGTCCAATCTGGTTCTGCCTCCCTCTGAACCCTCTCAGTACCTTACTGGAGGGCTCGGGGAGGGGATTTCAGCTACGGAGAGGAGGGAAAAATGTGACCCACCTTTTCAAATCTTATGGAGCTGCTAAACATCACTTGTGAATTTAACAGTTCCATTGGTATGGAGGTGGGGACGGATAAGTGTGCAGTCCTCCATGTTGAAAGGGGAAGGGTTGCTAACTCTGAGACAAAAAAGTCTGAGGGTTCTTAAGTTGACGGGCATAGACAAGTCTATGCCCGTCAACTTAAGAACCCTTTCTGAGGCTGAAACGTACCGATACCTGGGTATGTCACAGAACACCGTTATCGAAGAGGCTGGTATGAAACAGTCAGTTTGCGACGTGTTTTATGCACGCTTGACCAAAGTGCTTAACAGCCTTTTGTCCGGTGTGAATAAGTTACAAGCATATAACTGCTGGGTCATGCCTGTCCTCATGTATACCTTTGGCACACTCAGGTGGACTCAGACTGATCTTAACTCCCTGGATAGTCTGAAAAGTCCGCACTACCATGACGTCCCATAGAATGCATCATCCGAGATCGTCGGTAATGAGGCTGTACTTGCCGCGAAAGCATGGTGGGCGTGGCTTTCTGAACGCGCTCACCATGCATAATCGCGAAGTGTGCAGTCTTCGTCAATACTTCTTGGCGAGATCGGATGATCCATATCTCTATAATGACGTCATTTCTAGTGTAAAAGGGCTTACCCCTCTTTTTTTTTTATAGAAGAGGGGGCAAACGAGCATGTGGCTCACCTGATGTTAAGTGACTACCGCCGCCCATGATCAACTGCAACACCAGGGGAATTGCAGATGCGTTGCCGGCCCTTTAGAAAGGAGTAAGCTCTTTTCTTGAAGGTCCCCAGGTCGTATCGGTCCGGAAAAATCGCCGGTGGTAAATTATTCCACAGAGAGGTTGTACGCGGAAGAAAACTCCTTTTGAAACGTACAGTGGTGGACCGCCAAGCATCCAGATGGTGTGGATGGTATCGGGACGTTTGCCGCGTAGTGCGTTCACGAAATTTGGCGGCTGGGATTAATCCGAACAATTCCTCAGAGCACTCTCCATGGTATATGCGAAAGAAAATGCAAAGGGATGCAACATCTCTTCGCAGTGCCAGAGAATCGAGCCGATCGGAAAGCACTCGGTCGTCGACGATTCGAGTCGCTCTGCGCTGGATGTGGTCAAGTGGAAGGAGCTGGTACTGGGGAGCCCCAGCCCAGAGATGGGAACAGTATTCCATGTGCGGCTGAACCTGCGCCTTGTAAAGTTGCAGGCGGTGTGCCGGCATGAAATACTGTCCCGCTCTGCTGAGCACGCCAAGCTTTTTAGAGGCCAATTTGGCCTTCCCTTCCAAGTGACCACACCACGAAACTGCACGTCACTCGATATGTCGACGCCGAGGATTCCGATACTGGCTGAGGCAACAAGGGGAGTGCCTTGAAACTGAGGGGATACGACAAAGGGGTTCTTTTTAGCGGTTAACGCGTAAACTTTTGTCTTCTGGTTGTTAAACTGGACTAGATTTAGTCGCCCCCAATCCGAGACTCTGTCCAGCAGAGACTCGACTTCAGACACAAGTTTTTCCCGGCACTCGGAGACGATTTCCCGAGAAATATTGGCTCGGCCGGTGTAAAGAGCATCACCAGTGTTGTCATCTGCATAGCAATGAATGTTACGGGTCTGCAACATATCATTGATATGCAGAAGAAACAGCGTTGGCGATAGCACGCAGCACTGTGGAACACCAGCATTAATAGGCTTGCAATCGGAGCTTGCACCGTCTACAACGACCTTGATGCTCCGATCTGCAAGAAAACTGGTGATCCAATCGCACAATTTCTCGGGAAGCCCATAGGAAGGGAGCTTCGAAAGAAGCGCTTTGTGCCAAACCCGATCGAAGGCCTTCGCAATGTCCAAACTAACGGCCAATGCCTCACCCTTGGACTCTACTGCCTCCGCCCATCTGTGAGTTAGGTAGACCAGAAGATCACCAGCTGACCTACCACGGCGAAAACCGTATTGGCGGTCACTAATCAGCTGGTGATCCTCAGGGTACCTCATGAGCTGGCAGTTTACAATGGACTCCATTGTTTTGGAGAACAAGGAGGTGATGGCGATTGGACGGGTCTGAGCGGTCGCCTTTTTTAGGGATCGGGTGGACGAAAGCCGTCTTCCATGATTTTGGGACTACGCCTAGGGAGTAGGAGTTAAAACCGGTTAAAACCGGTGCCAACTCTGGAGCACACGTCCTCAGCAAAATTGTCGGGATATCGTCAGGCCGACTTGACTTGTGGATGTCCAGGGAAAGGAGTGATTTTCGAACCAAGCGCTGAGTGAACTGCACTTCCGGCATGGAGCACTCACACCGCGGGATGGTCGGCGGCGTACTCCCCCGTCATCAAGAGTCGAGTTAGACGCAAAGAAAGAGCCTAGAAGATCGGCTTTCTCCTTTGCGGTGTGGGCCAGTGAGTCGTCTTATCCCCTCTATCCTTAGCCAACGAGCAATGGCAGGACCCAGTAGTGCTAAGCATTTCCGACCGGGAGACCGTATGGAAGGAGAAGGAGCTCCACGGGAGGTACTGGCTACAGCTACAGGCTCTACATGAGCCCTTCGTAGATACAGTTGCCTCCCTCAACTGGCTACGTTTCGGTGTCCTCTTCGGGGAAACCGAGGGTTTTTGTCTGTGCAATACAGGGTCGGGTTATTAAGACCAACAACTATCGGAGATACATCCTAAAGAATGGCACCGTCGACATCTGTCGAGCTTGTCGCCATCCCGGGGTGTCACTTAGGCATATCATCTCCGGTTGTTCGGCGCTTTCTAACTCTGAGTACTTGCACAGGCACAACCTAGTAGCCAGAATTCTACACCAGGAGCTCGCTCTGAAATACGGTCTCGTGGACCGAAAATTGCCGTATTACAAGTACTTGCCGGAAGCCGTGCTCGAAAATGACCGCGCCAGGCTCTACTGGGACCGGACCATCATCACAGACAGGACTATTTTTGCGAATAAGCCTGATAATGTGCTGATGGACCGGGCACAGTCAAGGATATTTTTGGTCGATATTACCATTCCGTATGACGAGAACCTCGTGAAAGCCGAAACAGATAAGCGAACAAAGTATCTGAACCTGGCTCACGAGGTGACCGACATGTGGGGTGGTCGGCCTACCGAAATTATTCCTGTAGTCGTCTCTGCGAATGGGCTAATCCCAGTCAGCCTCTCGGGTCATCTGAGGCGACTGGGACTCCGTGACGAACCGCTCCGAGCTCAAATGCAAAAGGCAGTGGTCCTCGATACCGTCCGCATCGTCCGCCGGTTTCGTTCCCTTTCCCCCTAACTCGCGGCCGTTTGGTCTCCCCTGCCGAGGGCCTCCATCTGGTTGGGCTTTTATTTATATATATATATATATATATATATATATTTATATTTATATTTATTTTATGTTGTTGATATTTATGTATATTTATCTTTTTATTTTAAATTATAATTATATATTTATATAACCCAACCAGATGAGAAAACTATATTGATACACCCAAAATAATAATAAATTATTTATTTCAGATAATTAAAATCCATATGTGGGTTAGTAACACAATAATAATAACAACGATTATAATAACAAGGGTTAGTAAAAAAAACAATGGTTTGCTTAAATTCTAGGGTAATAAAATAAATACACTGTGCCGAGACAGATCATCATGAGGGTGGATAGGGCCCAGTTATCAGTCTCTGCACAAGACATTTCCACAGCGGCGATGTATATCTCCGCTACGGTCCTCAGAATGCTGTTGTGACTGGCTCGTACCCTGGTAATAAGGGATGCGTTTTTTTGCGTATGATGGCATTAAAACCGTCTGTTTGGTATGCCGCAAATATCCCCGAAGCACTACAAAAACGAGGCAGTCCCAACAGCATCCTGAATATATTATTATATTGAATGCGCAGGGCTTCAAGTGATCTTTTGGTGTAATTGACCCACAGGCTCCCCGTGTATACGCTCTGGCAGTATGCTTTAAAAAGCGTAATCTTAACTTGTTTTGTACAACGTGAAAAC